GCAGGGTTCGAGTCGTCCGAGCGGACAGGAGCAATGTCGGCGTAAGTTTCGTCGAGCGAGAGCTAAGAGGAACGTTGTCAGAAGAAAGTGTACGGGAATACACTACAAAAGAATGGACTCACCTGGACGTTCACGGCAGTGTCTTGAGCACCCTGAGTGAGAATCCCAATCAAGTTCGGCAAGTCACGGTACGCGTCGGGGCCGACGACCAGGTCCACCATCTTGTCGGACTCGAGCAGCTTGGTCTTCAAGCGCTCAGCCATGCATCCCAACACACCGACGGTTTGAGTTGGTGTGCCCTTCTTTTGCTTGCGCGCCTTGACCTTGTTCTGCTTGAATACCTCGAGGCGTCGCCAGATCTTCGCTTCAGCATTCTCGCGAATCGCACAAGTGTTCAAGAGCACAACGTCCGCGTCTTCACTGGACGGCTTATCGATATACCTGTCGTTTGGCATCATGGAGTACGTCAACAGCTCAAATGGGGTCGCTTGACGTGGTTTGCGTACCCGTGCTTGAGCAGGATGGCGCGAACGATCTCTGAATCGGACGAGTTCATTTGACATCCATATGTCTCAATGTGAAAAGATTTGGGAGGCGCCACGGGTTCCATGTCCGCCAGTTCCGTGACACGCGATGGCATATTCATCGTACTTTCTTCGTCTTGGACAGGAGAGGCCGTGTCGTCCTTGGACTTGCGAATGAATTCCGCCAAGCCAGGGCCAGAGAAGGTAGTCTTGGTAACAATGCTCTCGCTCGAGAATTGTGCCGCTGATGCACATCTTCGCATCGTGGCGGCGGTAGAGTGGCGGGACAATCGCAGCAGCATCCTCTGGATTTGTCCGCCAAATGAATCGTTCAATTCCAACGCCAGCACAAGCCAATCAAACGCGTTTCCCTTATCCGTACGATTCAGGTATATCCGGAATAGCTTGGAGCATATTAATTGGAATAAAATGATAATTGGTCAGCTCGTATATGCTCTATTTTTTTATTGGTCCGTTGATCGAGGAAATCTTTTTCATCCGCCTTCACCTCACTCCGTTGGCCAGGCCAGCAGCTTGACTCCGACGCCACCGGCAAGTTCAAATGAGTTGCTCGCTCGGCGGTGCTGCGATATGCATCAGGCACTTCGCACAAGAGACAACGTCAAGGCACCGTCGGGGCCTCGGGGTATTGCACCATATCGAGCCTGATGAATACACACGAATCTCAGACCGTCGCAATTAGCTCGAGTCTCGTTGGAGGCATGAGGTGAAACAGATTCCTTCTGTAAGCATCACTTGCTCGTCTAAACGAGCGAGGAGAGCGGGGGCACGTAAACACTCCTTCGTAGGGACGCGTTTGGGACTTTCAATGTCAACATGTAGGTGGCATACGACATGTATCCGACAAATTTCTGGAAGGGTATTGGAGAACCGACATGCCATTGTGATATGATTGGACGAAATGTATTTGAACCGTTTTGATTGGGCGATCAATTTGTCGTTTGGCAACATAACAATTTACATAGAACATATCATGAAT